TAATTCAGTCTGCTTTCATCTTTATTTTAAATTCTTTTGCTAACCTACTGCATCAAGCAAAGAAAAACCCTGGGCTTTCTTGTATTGCATAAATAGGCGTTAACAAAGATTTCTAGAAGTAAATTCTTTTCTGTTTGTGCCCTCAGTACTGGGCTTCCATATGGTACACACCTAGTATTCTATTGTGGCTAGAACTGAAAGTGCACAATTGTTTCTGTCTTATCTTTCATATTTCTCTGMACCAATGTCCTTATCTATTTTTGTCCTTCAGCCCAAACTTCAAAGTGTCATTTAGGTTCACCATACCTTCAGCTTTGGTACATTTTTAATTTATGATTTACAGCTTTCTTTGAGGGAGTCTGCATTTGAGGAATTGCACAACTCAAAAGTAACAGAAACATGATTCTTTCAGAAACATTTCACAAGTCATAAATGTCCTTCTTTAGACAGGTTCTTTCCCCACCCTAGATTCTGAATTCATAAGCTTTGCTGAGTTTTAGACATCCAAATCATATGTTCTTAAGAAATGTCTCATTCTGGAAGCCCACTAGATGAAAAGATTGCATTTTCTTAAATTCTGTCTTCAAATTTTCATTTGGTTTGCAATATGATACATTTGACAACCCTATATGAAAGAGATCTGAAAGTCTCTTGATCTTCAGTTGTGCACAGCCCCCTGCTTTCAAATTTGACTATTTTTTTTGGGGGGGAAGGAGTACCAGGGTTTTAACTCAGGAGCACTCAACCACTGAGCCACATCCCAGCCCCATTTTGTACTTTATTTAGAGACCGGGTCTCACTGAGTTGCTTAGCACCTCACTTTTGCTGAGGCTGGCTTTGAACTCCTGCCTTAACCTCCCGAGCTATTTGGATTAAAGGCATGCTCCACGACACCCAGCTCTAATTTGACTTTTTAAAGAGTAAAATAGGGAGTGATAGTAACAGACCCTTAGTTTCATTCAATTCATAGAATAAACATAATAATTCTTTCAAGTAGCAAGTTGTTACTGCTTTCTCCCTGCCTCAATTTTTTAGTTAGTGCTGTTAATAAGAATTTTTTAAAATTTTTATGTGGTGCTGAAGATCAAACCCAGTGCCTCATACATACTAGGCAAGTGCTCTGCCACTGAGCTACAGCCCCAGTCCTTAACAAGAATTTTAACGAACCTCTATTTTTAAAGGAATTTGGCTTCTGAAGATAGTAAATGGGTAATTCGAGAGTGCATATACATCAAATGGACTGATGATGAGGCCATTGAGAGCCTCCAGGCCTCTCTCTTCCTAGCCTTTTCCAAGACTCACACAGTCACACCCAATTTTGCATTTCATAACTTGTAATAGTTTCTTAAATAGGACTCTCAAAAGCTTAGGCTCCACAAAATGCATACCTAATACCTACACACCTATGTGTTGAACACCCATTTTCTATCCCCTATGTGGATACTTCCCCAAAACTCTGGTCCTGATGGGACTTGCATTCTTTCCCTTCCATCTTCCTGTCCCATTGTCACCTCAAATGTAATATGTACAAACTGAGCTCAGCATTACCCTTAAACCCCCACCAGATTCCGACTCCCGAACCTGTTCTTTCTTCCCCTCTGTGTCTCGAATCAGTGACTGGCACTGTATACTAGTTTAGTCTTTGAATCTTGGGATTCAAAGTTCCTTCARTGTCCCAGTTCCTTCAATATAAGTGACTTATCTTTGTGCTAACCAACACAGTAGAGTGCAATGATCTGACTTCTTGTCTGCGTCCCGAAGTATGGAACTATGGATTGTCTCCTATATTTTCTGTTCTTTCTTAGTCCAATGCCTGCCCATAATAAATGATGAACAAAGAGTAGAATAAATAATAACTGAAGTAGTGGACAAAGGAGTGATGTGRTATGGCCAGTATGCCTCACTTATCTTAACCCACAGCTCTTCCTTCTTCCACTGCAGAGACTGTGTTAGACCACAAGCTAAATCTTATTCTGTGACACACAGATCAAAATTGGTTTGGTTTATATTGCTGTCCGTCATGTGGGATGGACACACATAACGAATAATTGAAATCAGCCTTGACTTTGTCTGCAAGTTTTCAAACAGCAAATATTTTTCAGTCATCTGCTAGGAATCAGTGTGACGCTAGATACTATCGAGGTTATGTAAGAAAGATAATGGATAAAGAGCATTCATGGAAACCAAAACTTCATCAACCTAAAGAGGTTTAATTGTAAGAGTGCTAGCTAAGGCAAAATAGGAGAAAATGTGACTAGGAAATATTGAAAGTCTGGGAAAAAGGAATTCTTCCCAGGTTTTGGGTTACTTAGGGTTTTAGGCTGAGGATTTGAATTGACTCTTAAAGCTTAGGGATGTAGCTGTAAGTCTTGAGAGATAGTACTAACGTGGAAATAGGAGGAGAAATAAGGACATAAAAGACAGAGAGGTAGAAGGAGATTTAGGCAAGAAGATTGTTTCATGGGAGCTAAAAGAGAGCGTTAAAAAAAAAAAAGGAGGAGTAGACTTTGTGTGGTAGCCTATCCTGTGATTCCAGCTATTTGGGAAACTTAGTTTGATTGCAAGTATGAGGCAAGCTTGGGCAACTTAGTGAGACCTTGTCTCAAAAAAGTAATAAGGGCTGGGAGAGTAGCTTAGAGCTGGAGTGTTCTTGAGTTCAACCCACAGAACACATAAATAAATAGGTAGGTGTAGTAGATTTGATGTGGTCAAAAATTCTTTGCCCTTCATTCCATCAAAAGATAAAGTCTGGGCCTGAGCCTATGGCTCAGTAGTAGAGCATTTGCCTAGCAAATGCAAAGGCCCTGGATTCAGTCCACAGTACTTTAAAAAAAAAAAAAAAAAGTAAGGTCTACTTTTATACCCGCCTACCCCCCAATCTGATCTGGCTGTGGTACTTCTAATGGCAACAGAAAACAGATGAGATATATGAATTTCAGAATGTAAAAGGGCCTTGGAGTTTCAGCCTCCACCACCTTGCAGTGTTGCATAAGAGAAAGCCACATTCACTTCCTAGAAGATGGGAAGCCATGTGCAGGRGCACCGAAGCTCCCCACTGACCACCAGCACCTACCACCACCTACCCACTTGATGCAGCCAGATATGATCATGAGCCTTGCAGTGCAACTGACCATCTCACCCACATAGCCCATGAGTGAATCCAAGTGAAACAGGCAGCACCACCCAGCCATGCCAAAGAGTCATGGGAAACAGCAGCTGTTGTGTTAGGCAATATAGGGGGATGATTTGTTATGTAGCAATAGGTAACTGAAGTGAAACCAGAACAGGGAAGGAGGAAAAGCAAAGGCAGAGACCAATGGATATGCAAGTCACTGGTGTCCTGATATCTCAGTACTGGAAATAGCCTGAACCTGTCAGGAAGGTTTCCAGTTCCAGGTGGAGGCATTGAGTTACTGAGGTCTGAGGCCAGTAATGATTCAAATCAAATATCTGTAATTAATAATCTTGTTCAGAGCCTATGCTAATTATTTGACTTCAACTTGCATAAAACCAGGCAGTGTGCTGGTCAGGCTGAGGATGTATCAGCCTTTCTGTATTTTTCACTGTAAATGAATCATTTTTGTTTTTATTTTACTTTAAAAAAAAAAACTCATCTGTATCAAAACTTAGCCCTACCATTTGATAATTACCTTATGGCTTAAATTAAGAAAAGTTTTTCTGCTTACTAAAGTAAAATATTTTTAAAATCTCAACATATATACCCACCATCAATTCACCTATCAGGCTTATTCTTCCTTCAGATAAAAACTAGGGGATCAGTATGCGCACAGTTTCTGTAGGCATATTTCCCTCTAAGTGTATTAAACAATTTAAATGAAAATCACAACTCATAAAAAAATCACAAATCAACAATGTGATTTTTCCCGTTATATTAATACCCAATAATAAATATCCCTACATTTCTATATGTAGTGATTTGATCCTAAGGAAAGGAACAAGTTGRCCTTCATTCCTACTCCTATGTGTCACCTCTTCCCCCAGGCCATCCATTTTGGCAGTTAAGAGCTTTGAGTTGTGTTACTAAAAGAAAGTTTTCCATGGCCCACTGCTGAATTAAATTATTTAAATTCATTTATCCCGTTTTTAAATGCTTATTCATGTAAGAAACTCTTGTTCTGTCTCAAAATTGCCTAGAATGTACCATATTTTGAACAATTATGGATGTTTAGGCCCAAAAGTTTTATTAAGGCTGATAATTACAGCCTTAATAAGTGCTTAGGGATCAAAGATCGGTTAAGTCTGATAACAGATGAAGGGATGAARCCATGATCCTGGCCCAGGGTGGACATGTTATCCCAACATCTACCCCAGGTCTCAAAGAATGCCTTTTTTTTTTGCCGGAAGCTAGACAGATGGTTGAGGGTCTCTGCTCCTTACTTATCAGAGCTTTAAAAGAAAAGCCCCAAGCAACTTAGGAAGACACTGTCTCAAAATAAAAAATAAAAAAGACTGGGGATGTGGCTCAGTGGTTAAGCACCCCTGGATTCAATCCCTGGTTACCCTCCCCCCAAAAAAGAGCTTCACTTGCTGGAAAGCAATGCTTTTTCCACTTCCTTGACTGAATCACCCACATTGATGACAGGGCAGGGAAACAAGATTATGCACTGAGACAGTCTTACACCAAAGGAATATCTGGAAAGAACTTCAGATATTACTATTTAGCTGTATATAAAAGTTGTGGATTTTGGGATTTGGGGATTTGTTGTTGTCTGTTTTGGTACTGGGGATTGAACCCAGGGTTGCTTTACCACTGAGTCACATCCCCAGTCCTTTTTTATTTTTTATTTTGAGACAATGTCTCCCTAAGTTGCTTAGGGCCTCACTAAATTATTGTGGCTGGCCCCAAACTTACAATCCTCCTGTCTCAGCATCCCAAGATGGGATTTTACAGGCATGAGMCACTATACCTGGCAAAAGCTGCATGTTTGACTAAAGGCTATTTATTTATTGTTTAAAGATCAATGCATACAAATACTTACGCTTTTGCTAGTTCCATTGATATTTGTTCCAAAGAGCATCCCTTTGTTTCAGGTATAAAAACAATAACAAAAACCAGAGATGCTAAACTCATGATTGTATATATAAAGCACACCCATGGCAGGCCAATAAGATCTATAAGGAACAAAAGAAATTGATTAGAAATGTGTTTTGTGTTGCTTGGATCCCATTTTATAAATGCTTTTTAAAGCATATATAAAGCCATATGTATTTTCACAAATGCTAGTAGTATCCAGCGAAATAGGATTCATGAATTTAAAATGTAGTCAGCTCTGGAAACCAGTTCTTACTAATGACGTCAGCTTTCTCTGGTAAATAACAATCTTGTGACTAACCCAATTTAAATTCAATTGCCATCTTCTTGCTGGGCATGATCATAGTGAAAACASAGCCTAAAGCCATACAGAAAAATATAATGCAGAAGATAAAATTTCTCTTCTCACCCTCCATAGTTTTCCCTCTTGGGAATTGACACTGTAGCAGTTTGGTTTCTATTTGGTGGACATTTGTAGTGACACATTTATACAGATGGACTTTTCTTAGATTGAGTGCATTCTATTTTACTGTGATATGAGTAACTTACTTCATGCAATATTTTATCACTTTTTAATAGTCAGTTGTGTACTTTGTAATACTTCTTTCTAGGTCCAGAGGGAAAAACATGTGATATTGGGTCCAAGAAAGACACCAATAAGCTAAGATGCATCAAGAAGCAAGATCCTCAAGATTTTGATGGGTTTCACTTTGCCAGTCTAGTTTTTCCCTTGACGACTTCTAGCCAGTGGTACAATCCCTTTGTAGTCACTGGCCAATATCAAGGAACATTAAGTGATGAGGTGTGCCACCCCTCCCCATTTGCACTGTGCTAGCCACTTGCATTGTGCTGGCTCCTGGCTCAGCAGCATGAAGTTCCATGTCACAAGGAGTAGTGAGAAAGTACTTGGCTCTTTCTGCACATACATAGGCTCAGGCCAACTGTAGATAAGATTTGCAAATAGCTCTTAACAGCTGCAGCCACAAATCACAGTTGGTCAGGCAGGAAAATGAAGAGGTTGTATACTGAGGCTGTTTTGGTAAGTGCAGTGTGGAAAGATCTAAGCATAGTAACCACATGTGAGTGAGTTTTGCTGAGGTGGGATGAGCAGGAAGAGCAGTCCCTTTGGCCATTGCTGGTACAGGGCTTGGCCTGACTTATTGCTTAATAAACTGCTTATAGAATTGGTCCTCCCTCTTTCTCTGAATTGAAAAACTTGAATATGGAATTGAAAACCCCAAAAGGCTGTCTCATTGAATTTGACCCCAGTTCTGTTAGAGCACTTTCAGTAGCAAGGAGCTCACCTTTTCCTAAGCTTCACCCTGCACAGTGAGCCAGCTTTCTCTGCTCAAAAGTTCTTTGTCACCTGAATCTACCCTTTAGTCATTCTGCTTTATAAGATAGAATGATTTGACCATTTTACATTAAAACCAAAATCATGCTTAATTAGTAAGACCCTCAAAAGTAAATTCCAAAGGTGATATACTAAATGTATATTCATGAACGTATATGTGTATATATATTTATGTATATATGTATATGTGTATGTATGTGTTTGCAATTTGCATATGTATAAATATGTGTGCACAACCCAGTTTTAATGACAGCCATGCAAATATTTGAATGCACTCTGTCCCTTTCCTGAGACCCTCTTGTCCAAGTTGAACATCCTGAACTCCCCTCCATTCTTCTCAGAACATAGGTGACCTGCCCTGGTTATCCAGGTCACCCTCCTTGGGTGGACACACTGCAATTTTTAAGTAACCTTTTCAGAATGCTTTACTCAGAGCTGAACACAATACTGCAGTTGGGTCATGCCCACTGTACAATATGTTTTCCTATCTGGAACAGTCTGCTTTTATTGATTCAGATGAAATTTCATCAAAATGTTGGTATCTGAGGGCTTGTTGCCAGCTAAAGCCTCACATCTTTAAGGTCTTTCTAACCCATACTTGGAAAATTGACTTTCAAAAATAAGTAGAAATCTTCAAGCATCCCCATTAAATATCATCTAAAAGTTTTAGATCATTCCAGGCTTTTAAAAATTTGGATCATTTTTCCTAACATTTGTTCTAAAAAGCCCATTTGGAGAACTTCAAATCTTCATTAGCTCATCCAGTATATTAGCTAGCCTTCCCAAGGGTTTGTGCCATTTTTTAATGCCTTGACATTCCAATTCTCTCTCTTTTTTTAAATATTTCTTTCTTCACACCAAACAGCAAATGCAGTGTGTGTGCACATGTGTGTGTGTGTGTGTGTGTGTGTGTGTGTGTGTGTGTGAGTGAAGGTGAAGGGCACATATTTATGTGGGTTATCTGAGCAGGAGAGGTATGGCCAATGCTAATAACCAGCAGTGTAGTTTCCTTCAATCTTAGGCTATTTCTAAAAATGTAGGACATAAGGATTGGACAGTTTTATATGAAAACCAAAATCATGCTTACCTAGCAATTTCAAAAGYTAATTCCAAAAGTAATATACTAAATATATACACATATGTATATGTGTGTATGCATATATTTATGTATACGTATGTTCATATATAAACATGTACGTGCACTTTAAGTAAATATCCACTTTTGAAAATAAACTATACAAACATACACATAAATATGAATGCAGACTACACGTACAAATTGAAGAAACTGGGTAATTTGTTTAATAAAATTTTCTAATTTGGATTTTTTTTTTATTTATTGTAGCCAGAATGACCCCTAAATATATGTGAAATAAGAAAAACCCATTGATCTCTTTCTTCCCTAGTCCTGCCTGGACTTGTTGTTGGAGACCAGGGATGATACCTGCCTCACTGGTCAATTTTAGAGGATGCTGGGGCACCACCTCATTATTTTGRGAACTAAAAATAAAGTTCCAAGCACTTATCTTGCCTGTCTTCTATAATCCACACTTCAGGTTAGCTAACTCACTAAGGAGAAATTTCTCTCTAGAGAAGTATTCCATATAAAAACATAGAAGGAATGGTAGAATAAAGATAGTGGGTTTAGAAAATAGTGGCTCACAGCAGTTTAACATGGCAAAGTAGGAGACCATTCCTGACATTCCTCCTGAAGGTAGGACAAATCCTGTCACCTACCAGGGAGTTTGCAAACCAACCAGAATACCTAGACTTCCTCAAGTCCCCATCTAGATCTAAATATTAATGTACAGGAAACACAATGAATAGAGGGACATGTGATCTAAGAACAATCTACAAATTTCAGACTCCCTAAAATTTTATGAAACAAATGGTCCAATTTCTTCATAAAAATATAAGGTGGGGTGAAAGGTGAGGGGAATGGAGATGAAACTGACAAAGTTGTGTTTCATACATTTCATTGTAGATTATATATTGGAATGTGATTCAGCCAAGGTATAAAAAGTAATTATAAGACAATTACTAAAATGTGAACACAGACAGGATATTTGATACTTAAGGATGATTATTAAAATTTTCCATTATACTGTGGTCCTATTTTTTTAAATATCTTTTTTTTAGAGGTCCCTGCTGAAATTTTACAGGCAAAAATGACATTATATGTGAGATACAACTAAATTTGGTAGGAGGAAGATCAGGCAGAGTCATAAATGAATGAAGACTGAGAACAGCTTTAAGATAGGTAATAGGTACAGAAGGTTCATTGTCATTCTTTACCTCTGAGTGTGTTTGAAATTTTCCACAATGATTTTTTTACAAGGATGTCATCCCTAATGTTTGTCTTAAGAGAATACAAATCATCAGAGGAAAACAAAGAGTTCTTACCAGTTACAGTCAAAAACGTCAGAGAGATGAGGAGATTGATGCCCCAGTTCATGCTAGAGGTTAAAGCCATGGCTCGTCCTCTGATCCCACCAGGGAAGATCTCACTGAGCACCAGCCAGGGCACTGGAGAAAGAAAAAGTGACGGGAYAGCAAAATTAGGGAAAACCCATTGTGATGGAGGGCTGGCTCATTCATCTCTCTGTGCCAGGGCCAATACCTGTGACAGCAGGACAGGACAGCCCAGAAAAGAGACATGCCTTCTCTTCACCTTCAGCCAAGGGAGACAGCAGACAATGGGCCTCCGGAACATGAAATACTGGTCTAGGACAGAGGCTTTCAAAACACAAAGGAAGGGGCAGTGCCTGGGGCAACCAAGGGCTGACTGAACAGCCACCCAGCTCAAGAGCCTCAAGGCTAGATAACCAGCTGCAATTGCTACCGTGTGGTGTCCTTTCCTATGCCCTCCTTTCCCCTGGACCTGGGAGAAGTCTAGAGTCATAGCTAAGGAGTGGGTAGGAAATGGAGCTAGAAGGGCAAGGGATACCTGCCACTCTCCCTTCTTCCACTTGAACCTCCTGGCCCTGGGTGAGCTGGGTGGAGGGAAGCCCTAAATTCAATAGAACTTCCAGATGTGTTTATTATACCAGACTAGACATTTGAATTTCTGGAAGAAAGACTCTTCTTGGCACCAAAATGATCAGAGCACTTTTTTTTTTTAAATTTTCTGTGAGTGACAGAGAGCATAATGGGATCCGCTTAATGGGATTAGAAAGAACAGAAGAGAGAAAATTAACTCATCTTCCTCTCATATCCCAGCCACCGAGTGTGCCTAGTAAAGTCTGAGCAAGTTCTTACGGGGAGCTGACTTTACAAACATCCAATAACACTGCCATTTGATCCTCACTAACCCTGAATAATTGGTAAGTATTTATTATTCCTCTTTCATAGAAGAAGAAACTGAGGCTTTGAGGGGTTATTGACTTGCCAAGATCACAGAGCTCCTATGTGACAGAGGTAGCATTGAACCCTGACAGTCAGTCTCTGGAACTCTTGTGTTTTAATCACTGTGCTGTCTTCATAGTGGCACAGTAAATATTTGTTTATTAATAAATAACTGTGAATGCAAGCACATTTGATTCTGTGGAAGAAGGACTTTGGAGCTGCCCACCCTTGGCCCCCTGCTGGCTAAGGCGCCATGTGTCAGAAAGCCAGTGTTTGTACAAGGACCAGCTGCATAATGCCAGCCCAGAAGAAGAAGCTAGAAGCCAGGGAGGGGTCCCATTGACCAGCACCTCTAGCACTTCCAGCACCAGAACCGAGCAGTCAGCTGTGTGTCTCACTGAACAATTAGCTGCTCACATCAAGATCACGTTCTCCTCGTCATAAATGTGCTGTTTTACAGTAAGAAAAAATAAACTGAATCAAAAATTTCTTTTTTCTTGATTATCTTCTCCAAGTGAATCTATCTAGGGTCACCTTGAAGACRGAAGGTGACTATAACAAAAACAACATAGTTATTGTTTTAATTGATGGGAAGTTTTTAAAAAAATCCTTATCTCCCACCCTTTCACCTCACCTTTCCCCCACACTCCTTTTCACCCCCAAAGACCTTTACTAATTTGTATCTTTGGTAGAATCTCTTTTCTCTTAGTGAGCTTARTGCCTAGGTAATCCTATCTTGAGCTTTGCAAAATTGAGGCTCTAACTCTGGGTAGATTGTGTAATTCAAAGCAAGCTTTCCAAAGGGGACCTAACCTTGGGCAAATAAAGCAAATAATCTATGCCACAGACATATACCCTACCCATGTCCCTTTCTGACATGGGCATTTGACACAGATTAGTTGGAGCTGAGGGTCCCTTAAGACCTTATGCTGTAACAGGAGGGAGAAGAGGGGGGAAACCTTTTCTTTTCTTCTAGTAGAGGAGTTAGCTCAGATTTTCTTGATCCAAATTCTAGCTCTCCCTGAACACCTRTCTAACCTACTTCTTTCTTTACTCCACCTTGCATCACTATGGACTTTTGAATTATCTGGTGGCATTCGGTAGATAAATTGCTGAGCTCATCAAAACCACATTGGCCTCAGATGAAAATGAACTGATCTTGCTGTTATAGAAAGTGATGGATTCCACCAACATGAAGACAGGTGCCTGTGCAGAGCACAATTTGTATGTTCCCAGTCTGAATTGCCAGGGTCTCCGTGCATTGAAAAACTTGAGATCATACTGGAAGTCTGTCCTAGGCATACCTTCAATTCAGCAGCTAAGCCAAGTCCTTGGGCAATATAAAAGTCTGAATAATGAATCAAAGGTTGAAAAATAGACTTCCTTCAGTCTAGTGGGAATTTGTCTGACAAACCCTGCACCTGACATTTCCCAAAATAAATGTATCATTGCTAAAATCTTCTGCTTCCTTTTTCCATGGAATGGGAAGAATTCAACAGTGGATGCCTTGGTTGATTACGATCCACAAACTGGAGGTTGCAACAATTGACAAGGGAATGCTTCAGCCATCCCAAAATGGAGAATATTGTTTTAATAATGATTTCAGAGCTATAAAATTCCAAGTTTTCAGATATGGAAGAGTGAAATAAAAACCTGAAAGTGGCATTTGTGATAAGAAAGTCTTTCCATTTCAGTCTTGGGAGCAAGACAGTGCGAGAATATTATAGTCTTCATGGTTCTCCAAAAAGATGTTGTGAATGGCCAAACTGAAGAAATGAAGAAACTCTGCTTCTTTTCATAARTAAAGAACATAGAGGTATAAACCACCACATTGGGATTTAATATGGCAATTTTTATAATAATGGGTGGAAGCTTTTTAAAAGTCACTATATTTTCTTTTCCCAAGAAGGTGACCCAGTTTGTCCCCAAGTAAAATCCAATTATTACTAAAAGGGAGGGCTCCTTTTCATTGCCACAGGGAGGAGATGTGGCTCCCCTGAGCATCCTCTTTATTCCCTATGCCGATGATAAACCAACAGAGGATGCATTGTCCTATTGGCTCAGAGGGGGATCTGCAGAGTACTCGTGACAGTGACAGAGATTTAGTGAGCCCAGCAGCTGCGGCTCATAAACAGTTCTCTTGGACCCCTGTTATTTCTCCTTCAACCTCATCATTCTGGGGCCACCTCAGCAATTTGCACTCCCCATAAATGTCGGAGTCTACGTGTCCTTAAGGTCTGCTGTATACTACAGTGATTGAGGAAAATTTGGACTAGCATGGGCCACTGGGGAKGGGTAATTGTTCACAGATATGGAACTCATATTTCACATGATATTAAGTCATGAGGACCGCCCATAAGAACTTTCCCGGTCTAGATGAAGTAAACAGAACATTTATGGCTACACAGAGTGTCATAAAAAGATCACAAAACAAACAATATGTTGAAGTCTCTCTGTTTTCAGTTGGGGACACAGACTTGGGTTAACAGGGGCACTCCATAGAGATAACAGCCCTGTGTATTTTCGTACATCTCCTTATTTCTGGTCACTGCCCTAATTTTTCCTATAGACATTTAACCCCCTGCACTTTCAGATTTAAACCCTGCAGTTCTCCAGGCACATTTCCACTTGGCTGGGGTTCTTCCTGAACCACCTGGCATGCTCACCCAGAGTTTGAAAGACTCGTCGAGGTCTTGAAACTCTTGCCAGAGAACTCCTAGCAACTTTGGAGTCAGTTCTACACTCAAGCTGCAGAGTGTTTAGCAATTTGATTTGCTAGGGAAGCTATGTCCTGTGCTTTGTAGAAATGAAGCCAAATCCTATGGTTTTTATTGTATTTGCAAGTAGCATGCAACACACCCAGCTCTCTCTCTGAAAAGGGGTACTTAAAATGTGATTTTGAGTAGGAGCATGCCATCCCTTCCAACCAGATGTTTAAATTCTGGCCTCATAAGTTTCCTAAGTGGAAAAAAATGGTCTTTAAAAATAGACTCCATGATAGGCCACCAACTCCAACATCAGCAATCATGTATCAAATTCCTTTTTTTTTCTTTTTTATACTCTCACTATTCTTTCTTTCTTTCTTTCTTTTTTTTTTTTTTTTGTGTGTGTATGTGTGGAGGGGGGTGTTCCAGGGATTGAACACTAGTTCACTGAGCCTCATTCCCAGCCCTATTTTGTATTTTATTTAGAGAAAGGGTCTCACTGAGTTGCTTAGTGCCTTGCTTTTTCTGAGGCTGGCTTTAAACTTGAGATTCTCCTGCCTCAGTCTCCTGAGTCTCTGGGATTATAGGCATGTGCYACCATGCCCAGCTAGTCTCAGTATTCTTGTGCTCCCTGAGTTGTGCCACTTGTGGACTTTAGTAAAAGAAATACTTTATTCAAAAATATTATCTGGGATTATTTAAGTCACAAGCTAAGAAAAGTGATAAAGTGTTCCTCAATCTTTTGCCCTAATGATTTCAAATCAAAATAACGGAAAAGATTTTCAAATAATATTTTAGGGAAAATTAGACTAAGTGAAGTAACCCTCAATTTATAAAAAAATGCCAATGTTAAAAATGGAACCTTTTGTGATCAGGTATCAGATGAGAATAGGAAAGAACTTTGTCAGTGGGCTTTCAATTTTCTTGCTTGTGTTGCCTTTAAAGCAATTTGGAAGCTAAGTTTTTTTTTCCACATATAAGCTAATATCTAACATTTTTTTTACCATGAATTTAAATAGTGACAAAGGATGCAAATTCTTGTGTATTTACATTATAGCATTTAAAGAAAAATAGTTATATCACTTTTTTATATGTTTCTGGCAGAATTTAAATATGATAAGTGTTGATACCCATTACCATCATCCATCCAAAAAATACAGGAACAAAGAATTAGCTTAAATTTTACAGAGTTTCTTTTTCACTTGAACTTAATATTTTATCCTAGTAATGAATTTTTAAGCCTCAAAATCTTTCACTTAACACCCTACCATGCTTCTCCTCAAAAAAAAAAAGACCTTAAATTAAAATTTTAGGTTTAGTTTTATTTGTTCTAAAAGATTCTAAGTATTTTTTTCTGAATTGAGCTATTAAAACAATACTTAATACAAAACAAATCAAAATCATAGAACTATCTTACAAATTTTAGCAATAACTATTAAATATTAAAATGAAAATTTATTGCAAATACCTCAATGA